TTTTGTGATTGAAATCGGACTAAGGGGTGAATTGGGAGAAGGTGGAAGAAAAAAGTATTGTATGCGTCTGACATGGTCAACCGAAGGCTGGACATTGTTTTTAAGCAGAATAGCCTAAGGCTATGTTGATCGTCTGTTTTTTTAAGGACCAGACATTGTTTCTAGGCAGAATGTTCTGGATGCTATATTTATATTTTAGGTTGAGGTCAAACATTGTTTCTAAGCAGAATGGTTTGGTCTACACATTTCTTTGGGGGTTTCTGACGGAAGTAGGACATTGTTTATAACCAGAATGATCCAACTTCGTGCTTTTATGTCACTTGAGATAGGTCGAGTATTGTTTCTAAGCACAGTGGTTTAGTCTCTTGTTTTTTTTCTGATGAAGGATTTTGGTAGAAGGCTAAGCATTATTTCTAAGAATAATGGTTTAGCCTGAAGCCACACAAATATACAACTTCAAAATGAGACTATATTGGAAATCCTTATTTATATTTGAATATGAATAGGCAACTGAAATTGTTTTTAAGCAAAATGGTCTATCTTAAGTCATATCACGAAGAAGAGAAGTACATTCAATAGTATAATTGGAAGAAAACTGAGAAAGATGAATATTGTTTTTAGGCAGAATGGTTCAGTCTTATGCCCATATAAGAAGAGAAGTCAGAGAGTTATTTAAATTTTGGATATTTAAACAAATTTGGGGCGACTAAGCATTGTTTATAAGCAGAATGGTCTAGTCACATGCCCAAAAAGAGAGAAGTAGTTGTGCAACATGTTCGTGTACAACATAAGGCATGTTAGACATTGTTTATAAGCAGAATGGCCTAGCAACATGTCATATGGAAGCTGGGTAAAGAGTTAATGATATAGAGAATCAACGAGTTATCTATATGAAAGCAATTTAGGATTTTTTTGGAGAGACTTACCGTGATTGTATGCGCTTGCTTGACTACGAGTCTAGTATAAGTCTAGCGTGAGTGATTTTTTGATAGGTAGTAGCTTTAGATGTTTGTCATATGTTATAGTCATAGGAGTTCAATTTTTGCATCTCAAAATTCAGTTTATTTTTATTTTTTTTTATATACAGCTTTGTATAAATTTTGGAAAGACATGTCGCTAGCGGAAGTGCTACCTAAATTTTTACAAATCCAAGGAGTTAGTCAATTCTTTTGTCTTTACAAAATTCAACTTTGTGTAAGTTATACATTCGACTTATAAAATTTTGGGAAACCTATTTTTTTAGCGAGTGTTGCCTATATTTTTGCTAAATCAAGGAGTTAGACAAGAATTTGACTATGTGAAGTCATAATAATTTTTTTATTTTATATTTAGTTTTGTATAAATTTTGAAACGACATTTTCGTTAGAGGGAGTGCTGCTGAAATTTTTACAAATTTAAAGAGCGCGTTAAATTTTGTATTAGCAAGAGTAAGTTGTATTTTTTTTTTCATATCTTAGTATAAATTTGGAAAGCCTACTTTTATAAAGGGAATGCTGGACAAATTTTTACTAAATCAGAGAGTTAGGGTCCCGTTAGACACTCCTAAAGGAATCCTAAAATTTTTAGGACGAGTCCTAAAGGATTTTTAGGATTTTCTGTGGTGTTGTTGCACACAATCCTGGAAATGATATTTTAGGATTTGTCATAAAAGGTCTCTCGTGGTCGGTTTTCATATGTGTATACGCAGCTGTGTCGCCGATGTCCGTCCATTGTTGGCAGGTGTTCGTGGTACACACTGCGGTGGACCGTCGACGGGTGATGGCGGATCGGTGAAAAGCACGAGGACCTAGAAATTTGAATTTGACGCAGGGTGGCCGGGCGGAGGACGGTCAGGCGACGCGTACGACGTAAGAGAAGACGGCGCTGGGGAACCCTTCGTCATGGATGTCAATCTTTCAAGTCCGCGCGACTGGTGACAAGCGGGCGCATCTTCGGACGTGGCGCATCTTGAGCTCCGACGTGCGAAGTCTCGTGAGGCAATGTAGAGCAGCGGGCGCATCTTCAGCTCCGGTGTGTGTACTCTCTTGTGGCAGCGTAGAGCAGAGGGCGCATCTTCGACTCCGGTGTGCGTGGTCTCCTGTGGCAGGGTTGAGCAGTGGGTGTGTCTTCTGCGGCGGTGGCAGGAGTGACGCTGTAGAGGCGGAACGATTGTCGGAGATGGATGTTCGCGGCTGCGGGCACGGTCTACATGAAGAAAAAAGCGAAGCCGTGGCGATTGCGGTGACTGTCGTCGTCCTCAACACCATGAGCGATATGTTGTCCTCCTCCCACGACATGCGTTTGTAGCTCCGTAAATGAAGAGCGTTGTTGCAGAGCATTGTCGAAGCGCCGCATTGTGTGGCGACGTGTGAAGCAGTCGTGCAATTGTGTTCCACGCTGTCGTGTGGCGTTTTCCTGCAGCAGACCCCGCGATTGTGGATTAAGCAACGGACTGGCAGAACATGGGAGGCCCTCCGGCTGTGTGATGACGCCATTGAGGACTACTACCGTCAGAAGTTGCGCATGCCGAGGGCCATGTTCCCCCAGATCGTACCCGCGTGCGTCGTGTACGTGGAGATGAAGGTTACACACTACAGGATGTCATTGCCTATAGAGCAGGTGATCGCTTTCACGTTGTGCAGGTGGGTGTCCGGAGATACGAATGAGAGCAGCACGTCAGTCTTCGGCATCGGCAGGGCAACTGGACTGCAAGCCGTTCGCGACGTCACTTCGGCGCTGCTTAAACCAACACCCCCCCCCCGACACAAAAAATTGGCTTTTCGGGACCATCGGAGGCTGGGAGCCCGGAAGGAGCGGAGGTCAGCGACAATTCAAGCGGAGGTCAGCGGCAATTCAAGCGGAGATCGGCGTAAAAAAAAAAAAAAAGTGCAAACTTTGACGATTTTTCACGCTCAGAATAATAAACCAAAACATCTGAAATTCTGGGATCCGTTAGATTTGGTCATGATCTATTCAGGAAAATTATTTAAAAAATGAAGAAGAAAAAAAAATTGACGGTGAAATACTCGCCGCGCCAATTCAATGCATTTTTCGTTCTTGCCACTCTGCCACCTGCGGGCCAACGGAAAAGTACTCCGTTCTTGCCACTCTGCCACCTGCGGGTCACTCTACCGGTTCTCCACACTATGGTACCGGTAGCCCTCATTAACTTGGGCTACCGGTTCCCCAATTTTTTTTTCCGTGTACGCAGTGATGGTTTAAGGTGTACCCCGACGCCATCAAGTGGCCAGTGGGCCGGAGACGTGTGCAAATTCTGCCCGCTTTCCATGAGAAGGGTTTCCCGAACTGCTTCAGCGCAATCGACTGTACACACATCTACATTGACAAGCCCGTCGGTGCACCTTCAGACAACTACGATGACCGAAAACAAAAGTTATCCGTCCAAGCGCAGGTGGTGGTGGATTTGGATCTGCGTATCCTTGACGTCCACGTGGGATACCCGGGAAGTGTGCATGACATCCGTGTCCTGCACAATTCCCATCTATGGACGCGTGCAGAAAGTGGCGAGTTGTTCGACGCACCTCTAGATAATCTGCCGCAAAGTGTCGTCACGCGAGGTTACCTGCTGGGCGACAACAGTTATCTAGTTGTCTGTCCATGGATCGTCCAACCGTAGGGAGGAATCGAGCAACGTCCTGACGAGGAGCGTTTTGACACGTGGCAGAAGGTGGTGCGGGGGTGTATGGAGAGGTGTTTGGGCGACTGAAGTACATGTGGCTTCTGTTCTTGCGCACCCACAGACGAACCTGGAGAGCTTGCCACAACAATTTGTGGTCCTCTGTACTCTCCACAACATCCTCCTGGACGCGAGGATCCACTTCGACGAGAACCTTTTGTGGGAGGTGGATGCGAACGGCGTTCGGCGTTGAGTAGACTTGGGCATTGTCGGGAACGGCACGGGCGGGGGGCAACAGAGCACGAATGTGGACCGAGACTTGTTGTGGGATGCACTTCGAGACCGCCTAGCTTTAATGTGGGACTGTGCAGACCGAGGGGGAGGGGGGAGGGGGGGAGGGGAGGGTAGGTATGGTGTGTAATCGGCATGCGGGTTTGATTGTGACGTCGCCCATGCAGAGTAGTGTTTGGTTCGTCACGTGCTTTTCAAGCTCTCGGATCACTCTCCCCCGTTGTGTATGTTGTAGTCCACCAGTCTGTAGTCGCCGTGCGCGAAAATGCCGGGTCGCCTGTTTCGCCGCATGGTTTTTGTCAATCTGTATGTGTTGTATTCGTCGTGTAGACGGTTACCAGGCCTTCGGCTGGGTCCCGGTGCTGTGCATTTGCTGTGGTTCGTACAGTTGTGCGGATGTTGAATATTGCAAGAACCTTTTTTTTTGTATTTCTTCAATCCGTTGGTCATGAATGGTTCGATGTGGTGGGATGACTTGTATACCTTCGCTCCCCATGGTACATGCGCAAATTGACAGACAATGATCACAAGAAAGTGAATGGAAATCGTTGTTGCGGTTGCTTGCCTCTCCCCGGGCAAAATGATCTTTCTATTGTTCTTTTTGAAAAGTGTTCTTTGCCGAATGACATCCTCATTTTAGACGTGTTGCCTTGCTATGTGGGTGTGCATACATGCAAAACATTTAAAATATTTCGCTCATTCAGTGTTTGACGTTCATATGTGAAATTCTGGCATGCATTCCCATGATGTGATGTTCAACAAATCAATCTGGCATGTCCTGTTCATTCGTCGTCACGTCGATCTCAAAAAAAGCAAAAACACAGAAGCAAACACAATGCGGCGCTCCACAATTGTGTCCCACTCCAGAGATGACAACATTGTTTAATGTGGCTTGCCGATGACAAACTTTGCAAACTCATCGCAAAACAACGTCAAAAAATTGTCTCTTCACTGCGAAATTTGAAAACACAGACACTCGCATGCCTGCGGGGTAAAAAAGTTCCCCCCTTCGTACTCTCCCCAACATCTGTCGTTTGAGCTACCCCGAAAAAGATAGGGAAAGAAAAAAAAAAAAAAAAAAACAGAAACTAAC